CGGGGGGGGGGGGGATCCGCTTTTTAAAAATCCGTTTTATTCAGAACTCACATTCATTGTTGGTCAGATTCTCTGACGACGCTGCATTTTAACAATATTCCGCTCAATCTCCGGCGCTTGTCCCAATCAAACCAGCTTGTGCCCGAAGGCCACACAGCGACTGGACCGTCAGGGCAGAGGGGAGCCTCGATTCTCCAGCATTATGCCATCGAAGAGGCTACCCCTCAAAAGCCCTCTGGCCTGGAGCCTATCGCAAAGGCTCCGCGGGGGTGTCACTTGAGGTGGCACCCCTCCAAGCCGCTGGTGTGCGATTCGCCCTCCCGTGGTTCGGGGAGAGCGTCCGCCATCGCTGATTCGTAAACTGGAAGTCAGCATCAGGGTCTTCTCCAGTGAGTGCTCCCTTCTCATTGGGTGAAAGAGCTTCAGCTTCAGATTTGAGCTTCAGCTTCAGTATCTGGCCTTCCAGGGAACAGTCAGGGTTGATTTCTTTTAGGACTGACTGATTTGATCTCCTTGCAGTCCAAGGGACTCTCAAGATCTGCATTTACGTTCCCACCTAATTCCAGTATTCCCACAACCACTGCCTAGAGCTTCCTTCATTGTCAATATAATCCCCTCTCTGGATGTAGGAACATTATTTATATGCTACAGAAACTGGAAAGCAGTGCTGGGGTTTGTTTTTTTTCCAGATTTGATACCCAGTTGATCTGTGACATGAAAAACTCAGCTCTGTAACTCCCATACATTTCTATTACCATACTTGAAAGCTGAACATAAAAGAAAGGAACATAAAGCAGCCATTCTAAATCAGACCAGTGGAACATCTAGCTCAGCATCCTGTTTCACACAGTGGCCAACCAGTTTGACCTGGAAGGCCAACAAACTAGGCACAGAGGCCGAGGACTCCATATTGCTTCCCAGCACTGGTCTACTATCCTTGGACTAGGGAGGTTCCTCTTAGTCATCATGACTAGTAGCCCTTGAGGGACCTTTACTCCATGAATTTATGAAGCCTTCTATGCTCTTGGCCATCACAGAATGCACCAGCAAGTAATTCAACCATTTAATTACTAGTGGAGCGAAGAAGTACTTCCTTTTGTCTGTCCTGAATCGACAAGTGAAAATTATGCAAGCCTACAGCGAAACAAGCTAGGTACTTGTTTTTTAAAAGAACAAATAAATACAGATTCTCAGGGAACCAAATTCCATGCCTGGTATTACATTATGTGCTTTTTCTGTGCTCCCATAGAATCACAACACTCAAACACACATCCCCCCAGCAAGCCTATGTTAATCACATTTTTAATTTTACTTAATATATCCTTTCTCCCCAGACCCAAAGCATCTTACATCATTCTTGCCTCTGCCATTTTATCCTCACAACAACCCTATGAGGCAGATTAGTCTGAGAGCGTGCGACTGGCCCAAGGTTACCCAGCGAGCTTCCATGGAAGAGCGGGGATTTGAACCTGGGTCTCCTAGATCCTAGTATGACACTCTAGCCACTACATCATGCTGGTGGAAGATGCATCCCACCAACAGGTGACTTGGGAAGCACATAAAGAATGCCTGCGGAAAGGAGTCCAGGGAATCTCCAGAGTTGCCAAGCCAGGTAAAGGTAAAGGTTTCCCTTGCTTGAAAGCCAGTCGAATCCGACTCTAGGGATGTGGTGCTCATCCCCGTTTCCAAGCCGAAGAGCCAGCGCTGTCCAAAGATGTTTCCATGGTCATGTGGCCAGCCCGACTAGATGCCGAGGCGCACAGAACACTGTTACCTTCCCACCAAAGCGGTACCTATTTATCTACTTGCAATTTTTGCTTTCGAACTGCTAGGTTGGCAGGAGCTGGGACGAGAGACGGGAGCTCACTCTGTCATGCAGCACTCGGGTCTCAAACTGCTGAACTAACGACCTTCCAGTCTGCAGTTCAGCGTCTTAACCACTTGAGCCACTGCAGCCTGACTTGCCAATTGCCAGACCAGATGGGAATTCTGTGAAAGATGCGCACCAGCCAGCCTCTATGGATCCAGTATGGGGGAGCCAGAAAGATGGGGACCATGATACAATGCAGAGATTGAGAAACCATGCAGGCTGGTAGGCAGTGGGACGGGCTCTCTGCTGGAAGCAGGGAAACAGTTTGACACATCAGTTCTGAAGGAAGTGGGTATCACTGAAGAATCCAACCCAGGACCTGCTCCACTGGGCTAACAGGTCTTTCCCTCTGTCTCATAGAGTCAGGGGGTGGCCAAACTGTGGCTCGGGATCCGCATGCGGCTCTTTCACACATATTGTGCGGCTCCCGGCAGGCTCCCCATCTATTTGCTTCATTTCTCTCTCTCTTTCCACCTCTTTCATTCTTTCTTTCCACCTCTCTCTCTCTCTCTCTTATACGCAAATAAATAGCAAACAAATAAATATCATTATACATATCTGGTTTTACCCCTTTTGTTTTTATTTTTGGCAGTCTCATTTAATGTTAATAAAAAGCAAATCTGCACATTTCTCAATAAAAACCTGTATGTAATATCTGTTCATGTCTTGCAGCTCTCAAACATCTGACGTCTGTTCTGTGTGGCTCTTACGTTAAGCAAGTTTGGCCACCCCTGTCATAGAGGAATTATCATAAAGATGTGCAAGGGGGCAAATGCACATGTGTTGTTCATGCATTTCTCCTCCCCCCCCCCGCAGGTTTTAATCTTTGTTAGGAAGGTTTGGTGAGGGACAGTACAAGGCTCTCTCTTTCTCTCTCACTGTGTTTTTTCCCCCCCTCCCCCCCCCCGCAGGTTTTAATCTTTGTTAGGAAGGTTTGGTGAGGGACAGTACAAGGCTCTCTCTTTCTCTCTCACTGTGTGCCCTGGCCAGAGCAGAATCAGTCAGAAAGTGTGTACAGAACAAGAGTCCAGAGCAAACTGTGTGATAAGAGCAAATACCAGAGAGGACACGGCTCCTCAGCCAGTGTGTCTAACTGCAGTGGTACCTGATGAGGGACACTGCAAAATTTGTCCCTCTCGTCCCCACCCATAAGAAGAGGAGGAGTTTGGATTTATATCCCGCCCTTCACTACCCGAAGGAGTCTCAGAGCAGCTTACCATCTCCTTTCCTTTCCCCTCCCCACAACAGACACCCTGTGAGGTAGGTGGGGCTGAGAGAGTTCTTTGAGAACTGCTCTTGATAGAACAGCTCTGAAAGAACGTGTGACTGACCCAGGCCACACCAGCAGCTGCATGTGGAAGAGTGGGGAATCAAACCTGGTTCTCCCAGATTAGAGTCTGCTCTCCTAACTACTACATCAAAAGGATGTGGGTATACTCAGGAGGGATGGTTTACAACAAGGTGGGGGGAACCAAGCAGTTGCAGATTCCTTTGCCAACAAGTTTGCGTAAATACCTCTCACAAGGTCCCCATTGCATTCAACCCAAGCCCCAGGTGGTTGTTTCATAAATATAAGATTTTGAGGAAGTTCTTCTAATCATATCGGACAAAGAGCAGGTTGGTTAGCTGATCTCTCTAGCTCACAGCCTGGGCCTGGTGATAAAAGCTTCCTCAACATGCTGTATGTTTGAAGAAACAAGGAGAGATTGTGAGGAATCTGTAGTAAAAGACCCTGGGTCCGGTGGGGGTGGAGAAGACAAGCTGGCAGATCATTCTCCACCACAGGCACCAACGCAGACTGAGACTGTGCTCCTGGCCGCTAGGGTTGCCAGTCTCCTGGTGGTGGCTGGAGACGGCCCGCTATTACAACTGATCTCCAGACAACAGAGATCAGTTCATCAGGAGAGAATGGCGGCTTCAGAGGGCGAACTCTATGGCACAGCATCCCTGCTGAGCCCCCCCTCCAACTCTGCCCTCCCCTGGCATCACCCCCACCCCCACCCCAATCTCCAGGAATTGCCAAAGCACAGCAGGCAACCCTAGCAGTGATAGCAAGATTTTTCACAACTCAGCAGCCAGGAGTGGCCCCAGACACTTTTGGTACCAGATGCCAAAGGTCCAAAATGGCACACACACCCGCCCCCCATTCTCATGGACAGAGAAGCTCTCTTGCACATCTCTTAGTAAAACAAATGAAAGCTGCTCAAATACGCAGTTGTTCATTTCAGGTCACAAGATAGGTGGTCTGAAGTCATGTTATGTCCACCTCTTTCTCTGCTGCCGTTAACAGTGCCCACATCTGCTGCCTGCCACGGCCACCTCTACTAGCATCCCCTTAGTATTATGCCCAATGTCTGCAGTGTTCTCTTCCCTTGTGGTATTTAACCAGGAAGAACAATAAAATACAAATGCACAAACCCACCCAAACCACTATTTATAATGGTCATCTTCCCAGTTCTGGCAGAAGAAGAAGAGACTGGATTTATACCCCGCCCTCTCAGAGCGGCTTACAAACGCCTTTCCCTTCCCCTCCCCACACCCTGTGAGGTAGGTGGGGCTGAGAGAGCTCTGACAGAAACTGCTCTTTTCAAGAACACCTCTGACGGAACTATGGCTTGCCCAAGGTCATCCAGCAGCTGCGAGTGGAGGAGTGGGGAATCAAACCCGGTTCTCCCAGATTAGACTCCGCGCACTTAACCACTACACCTGCAGCCCTTCAACCGGGATGAAAACTGGGCGTTCTGACATGCAAAATTAGGCAGCCAATCGCTGTACTCTCTTGTTCTTTTCCAACCTGGCCCAAGACATTTTGCTACTCCACAATGCCAAAATCCAGAGAGGCATTATTGCAATGCCACAGTGGGTTGTTTGGAATAGAAAGTGCAGGACTTGTGACGTCTGGGAGCGGCATTCTCCAACATGTTGTAGAACAGTGGCCTTCAACCCCAGGGCCACTGTGTAGTTCCCCCCCACACACCTTGCTGTCTGTCTGTCTGTCTTTAGCATTAAGCATGCATGCAAAGAGGGGCATATAATACAACAAGCAGCCCTTGTCCTCTTTGGAATAGGTTCTTCTAGAAGGCAGCTCCCCACCCCACAAAAGGCAGGTCTGTAGTGGCTTGCAACTTACCACAAGAGCAGCATGTAAAGCAGTTGGTGTGATAAAGGTTCCCCATTGCTTGGCAAGCTTGGCTGGCCCCATAGACCCCCTTTCCACACTTGATACAAATGCCTACAGGAGAAGGGAGAGAAGGAACATTAGAGCCCGCCGAGGTTTCAACAAGCAGCTGTCAAGTCCCTAACCTGCAGGCGCACACAGCAGCCAATCATTCAGTTTTTACTTTAAAAATTTAAAAAAAACCAAAACTCTCTTGTCTCGATATAACTACTCAAAATGCGACTTGCAAGTCACAGGCCTGAAGGCCAGCATGAAAGTTTACGCTAGAGCAGCATTTCTTAAACTGCAGTCTGTTTGCATCCTTTGGGTCGTTCTTGTGCCTGTCCAACCCATGTGAAAACAGAGCCAGAGCCTGCTCAGTTTTCTAGGAATGGGGAGCAGAGTCTCTCCTTCCTCTGCTTCTCCATCTTTTGAAGGCTGGGAGATCACATTAGCTGCCACCACCCACCTGCAGTCACCTTGCTCCCAGATCCCTTTGGAACAGTCGCCAAAAAACACACGGATTGAACCAGAAATATCTAAGATGACTGTAGTTTCAGGTGGGCAGCCATGTTGATCGGCAGTAGAAGAGCAAGATCTCCAGCAGCACCTTAAAGAACGGCAAGATTTTCCAGGGTATAAGATTTTGGATGTCAAAGCTCCCTTCCTCAGATAACTCTCTCTGACAAAGGGAGCTTTGAGTCTCAAATGCTTATATCCTGGAAAATTTTGTTGGTCTTTAAGGAGCTGATGGACTTCAGCTTTGGTCTTCTACTGCAGAGCAATGTAGCTACCCACCTGAAACTTTGCTCTATGATGACTACTTTAGGGTAGATCCAGGTGGGGTAGCCATGTTGGTCTGAAGCAGCACAACAAAGTGTGAGTCCAGTGGTACCTTTAAGACCAACAAAGTTTTATTCTGGGTATAAGCTTTCATGTACAAAGCACACTTCTTCAGATACCAAATATAACTGAAGAAGTGTGTGCACACAAAAGCCTATACCTTGAATAAAAACTCTGTTGGTCTTAGAGGTGCCACTGGACTCACACTTTGTTCCATTAGGATAGGACCCCCTCAGTGTCCCTCAACAAGCCAGAGTTCTTGGCACTGAGCTATTTGATCACAGCAACCAGAACTGAATTGTTTTCCACCCTATTTTCCAATACAAAAGATTTCAGCGCAGAAAAAAAGATGCCACTCTGTGTCCCCAGCAAGTAACGGCAAATGACGTTTTTTACCTGAATAGTAGAAGATCATGTTATACGGTTGAAGCCGGTCTTTTCCTATTCCTAAGTGCACCTCTGAAAATTTTCCAAAGACCCTTCCCAACCCTGTTCAACCAGCCTCTGGCTAAAAGCTATTAACCAATAAGGAAATGTGTCTCTGGTACAACGCTCCTTCCAAGCATAGGCTGAGAGCCTGCAGAGAACTTAGAGCATCTTGAGCTGAGGCCGTACAGATCCAGCTCCCCCTCTGAAGGCTCACCTCTTAGGCCACATACAGGCAACACACCGTTTCCCTTAAACTTGCCTGTGATGCGTATGCGGTTGGTAAGGGTTTTGCCACATCATTTTGAGGACGAAAAAGGATGGAAAATCTCCACAAAGCAAATGCGGCCTGCTGCACACGCTCAAAAAAGGGGGTCAAGGTCTTTCACATCAGCTACCAACCTGATCTTTTTAGCTGGAGACGCTGGGGACTGAGCCACGGCCCCTCCCCTAACACTGGAGTTACATGTTCTAAGATTATTCTGAACTAACCCAACTACCTCTAAACTTCAAGAAATCCAAAATCATTACCTTTGGGAAAACATGGAAACCTCATAAACTGAATGTCAGAGGACTGACCAGGTGTCAAGTGTTAGATATCTGGGAATATATTTCCATCATAGCTCTAGCTGGGTTGCCCATAAAAAGGAAATGACCAAATCTGTTAACAGTAGCGCACTTGCAATTACCCGCTTTTACTACACCAAGGGTAATCAATATGTTCCTGTAGCCCTTGGGGGGTTTTAAACATAAGAGCAGTGCCAAACTGTTGTATGGGATCTCAGTATGGATTAGGGCCATTAGCAAAGGATATAGAAAAAGTTCAATTTAAATTCTTGCGGAAAAGCCTCCAGCTCACATATTTTTGTCTTAGCTCAGGAAGGACGGCTCCAGAACAAACTAACCTATGCAGTAGATCACTCGCTCACTCACAACTTTAATGCCAGTAGCTCACAAAGTAGACGTTTTGCTCACAAGACTCCACAGCTTAGAGGGAACACTGCTCCCTTCATGTGTGTCTTATACAGCCATCTGTCTGGAGACCAAAGACTCCTAGAGATGGAAGCCTGGATTATAACATTCAGATATTGGTTCAGGCTACTCTACAGAGCTGACTCCAGTCCTCTTATTCTGCAATTGCTTGCTGAGTCTCAGTCCTCTGCCTGGTTTCACTATATAGAGTGGAAGATCGCACGAATAGGGGTTAGTTTTGGGGAGTTACTCCTTCTGCCAGAAAGATCAGTCTTTAGTTTGATTAAACGACATTTGCTGTCAAGAGCTGATTGGTCGTGCCACTGGCAGATGTTCCCCCTTGAGGGTAGGGATTCCTCCCCAAGGATCTATAGAAGATCCTATGTAACCACTCCAGATTTTCGAAGAACTTTCATGTTGGCTCATTTTAATGTGCTACCCTCGGCTGTACTGATTAGGAGGTATTGTAAAATCCCATACAAGGACAGACTATGTGCTTGTGGTGTCAATGAAACAAAGTCTAGATCACACCCTTTTGCAATGTTCTTCCTACTGCGATCTCTGAGCCTCGTTCTTGGAGCCATTATTGAGAGACCATGGAAATCAATCTGATGACTGGTACTCTCTTTACTCTCCAATTGCCTTGTAGTAGCAGTAGTAGTAAAATTTATTGTGTAGCCATTGGCCATTACAACTTAAAATTTAAATTTAAACAATATATAAATTAGACAACTTACAGCAGTGGAATTTGAATTAGATTTAAAATATAATAACCTCTAAAATCTGCACATTCAGTATTTAATTAAAATCTTAAATATAGATACCCATCTCCAGAAACACATAACGCAAACATTGCTGACAATTGCCTTGTAGTAACTATGGAAATGGTGGCTAAATTTCTGTTCTTCACTGCCAAGGGGAGAGCTGGTATCAATAAGTGCCAATTATTACTGCTATTTTCAAACCTGTTTATGATGCTGTGATCTGCCATTAAAGGCTGTGGTTGTTTAAAAAGAAAAAATAGGAAGTCCCAAGCGGGAGGAGGGGAGAAACAGACAAGAGCCCAGGGGGGAGACACTTGTGGGCATTTGAGCAGACAGGGCTACAATGGGAAATAAGGCTGAAGGATTGGGGGGGGGAAGGGTACAGCTGTGGGAAGCTCGGAAGGAAATAAGGAGGGATTTGTGCTGACGATGATGACTAAAGGGATGTGAGGGGTAAAGTGCCACGAGGAGAATGTGGCAGAGAGAAGGCGGGTGATTTCAGCATATCGCCCCTACAAAAGCAGGCTTCTCAAACCTGGGCTTCATTCTCAAGGCGGAATAGGCATTATGCCAGCTGGTGGGAGCAAGCAACCCAAAGCAGGTCTACTCAGAAGTAAGTCCCATTCTATACAATGGTGTTTAATCCCAAGAACACGTCTTTAGGACGGCAGCCACAGTCCCACCAATTCCCCCGCAGATGCCTTCCCTCCACACAGACCACCAAGGAAACACCGCCATACCTGAGCCCCGGAGACCTGCTCTACTCAGCCCTGCCTCGACGAAAGCTTTTGCCCCATTCACCAAGGTTTGGGGTTTCTTTTGGAAATGCAAACAATTATTTCAGAGTCCTCTGGCACCTCCCCACCACCATCTGCCTCCTTCCAGAAGCCAAGCGCATCGGTGCCTGGCTAGCTGCCCCTGATACTTCGAGCCAGTAGCAGCAGCCTCTTTCGCTCGCCCCGTTTCCATTCCAAGGATGGCAAAAGTCCATTTCCTAATGAAATGTCCTGTCTTTTGATACCTCATTCACAAACACGGCTAGAGGCTGCCTCTTCTGCAGCGGACTCTCCTGGGAAACCCAGCCGCGTGAGTTATCTGACTGCTGCTGTTTTTTCAGCTCCAGATCAGACCAACAAAAACAGATCACTGGTTAGTCCATCCCCAAAGCAGACCAAAGTTTGCGCTGGTCCAGAATCAAAGCCCCCCAAAACAAAGCACAAACCACGTTAATACATCTAATGTCATATAGCCAACCCAAACGAGACAAAGCGGTATGCGATCTTTCGAGCGCACCAGAATTCTTCATCACGATGCATGTTGCAAAATAAAGGTGTGTGTGTGTGGGGGGGGTGATGTTTCAAGCCGTGATTTTAAGGTTACCCCCTCCCAACAAAAAGAACTGCTCGTTATTACATTCACACATTAACATCCCCGTTTAGATCTTCCGGCCCATATGACAGCCATTTCCCCTGCCCCATCACAATGATGGCAATTTCTTACACACCCAAGGAAATGCTGATTGCCACTTTGGGGTCAGGAAGCAATTGTTCTCCAAGTCAGTTTGGCCAGGGATCCTGGAGGGTTGGCATTTGTGAATTTCCTGCATTGTGCAGGGGGTTGGACTAGATGACCCTGGAGATCCCTTCCAACTCTATGATTCTCCCCCTGCCACCAGGGGACTTTTCTGGTCTTTTTTAAAAATGGCAAGTGAGTATCATTACACTGATATAACATTACAACAATCTTGTATCATTTTCTTTGAATTCCCAGCTTTCACAGCCCCTTTAGTTGCAGAGACATGCCTTTCCCCTTATATCTCTCTATAAAGAAAGGTATTAGAGATTTACTTAAAAAAAAATAAGCTGGGATTTCACAGAAAATATATGCATTCTCATACAGTGGCATAACAATATTCAATTGCTAATTTTAAAAAATGGAAAAGGGTTCTGGGAGCAATGAGGGATAGGCCACTGCCAGGATGCTGGGGCAGGGAAACTATGGGGAAGCCCTGTTGCTGCTGCAGTGTACCAACAGCCACAGAAGAAATGAGGAATCTACACAGACCTGTAC